GGGGATAGGTGAGGTAGAGGCGGTAGAAACGGCGCAGCGAATAGAGGGATAGAGTGATGGAAATAAGTGGGGAGGGGGAGGGGAGCGACCGCTGACCCCGGGGTCACGGTCCATGAGTGAATGATTGATTTGGCGGCGTACCCTCTCTTCCCTCGGCGGAGCCTGGAGTCACGCGCACGGAAAATGAGGCTTTGTCATCCAATACGGCGGGAGAGAGAGAGGCAGCGAGAGAAAGAGAGAGAGAGCGAGAGAGAGAAAGAGAGAGGGGGGGGGGCAAGTAAGAGAGATTGCGCCACCTCCCCCATCCTCATCACTGACGCTACCCCTTCCACCCGCTCTCTCTCTCATCCTCCTCATCCCTTGGCAGTCCACATCCTCACGCGCTTCAGAAAACACATCATCATGAAATCCGAAGGGGTAGGGCGGTTTGGGGATGGTGGTGGTGGTGGTGGTGGTGGTGGTTGGTGGTGTGGTGCGATAATATTTTTTCGGTCCATGCAATAAAAGCCGCAGCAGAGCAGCCGCAGCCGCGCGGTGGCAGCGGTAGCAGTCGCTTTAGCCAGATGGTTTCTGAGCGTGACTTTGGCGCTGCGCGTACGCTCTAAATGCAAAAGGACAATTTTGTCCATATAAATGGAACGGATCCGTGCACATCCAGAAAGGATCCAATTTTGATCCTTAAATTGGATAAAATTGTGTAAAGCCTGTTATTTCTATAATACTATATCATTTTTACAGAGCAGCCCGGCAGACCCGACAGTACTAAGCTACAGGTCTCGACGCCACTCGCCGCGCTCCACCCCGCACACCCGTGTGGAGCGTGGGTGGGAAATTGGGAGAAATAAGCTGTTAGGATTTGTCCCGGGGAGAGGGAGGGGAGGAGGGACAAAACCAGTCTGCCCCGTCCGTAGATTGGATCGGAGAGGTTTCCGCGTCTCCTGAACCGGACGGTCACGGGCAGGTGTGTGTGTGTGTGTGGGGGGGGGGGGTACGTTTGAGACCACATGATTCAATCATTGTGTGTCAGGTGGTGGTTCTAAGACAGTCATGGGAAACGCAAATGGCAGGAGTACGGGGGAAATAAAAGGGATTTGCTCGAGTGCAAAAAATTTCTTCCTTCAAAATAAACCATTTAAATCTTGACTTCAGGTAGTAACACAAGGGTACCAACGCCCTCCCCCTTTCCTGTTTTGCGTTCGTTTGGAACTTATTCCACCAGAAGTTAAGGTAGCATGAGGAATGAGTGAAGCTTGCGTTTCATAGAAGAGAAACGGCTCTGGAGACTGAAGTGTCGTACAGTATCACAGTTTTAAGTGTTGTAATTTATAAGTGTGGGACACGACGTGTATTACAGTTCTTTGTGTAGGACACATCGTGTCCCATTGGTACCATTGGTGGTACTACAGTTTAAACTTTGATGCTGTACGACACTTGAGTTTCCAGAGGCGCCTTAAAAAATGATACGCCCCAGCTAGATTAAAAGTTGGATACAGTGTCAAGCATTTTGGGTCAGGTTACGGTTTTTCTGACGGTGAAGCGGGGCTGCTTATAGACAGGCCGGGCCGACCTCTAAATTTAGAGGGGATGACGATCGACCGGGATTGGGGGGCATATATTCTTCTCCTGGGGTCTCGCGTGTGTGCGGTCGGGGCTAGCGGCCAGCCGAAACTTTAATCTAACGTCCTACCGGAAACCCAAGTGTGTGATGCCGCACACCTGCTGTAGGTGTGTCTGGACGATATACGTACACATAGGCAAAAGTGTGTGAATTTTAAAGGAAAATTCACATCTTTACTCCTGCAAGTATACTTATGGGGCCAATCACATAAGGTGCGCGGCACTCACACTTGCGTTTCCACTGCACTTTTAGTAATGATTTTTTTTCAAAAAGATTTATTTTGTTTAAGCCCTTTCCTCCCCTCCTTTACCCCCTCTCCAGCCCCGTAGGAAACAAGGAAACAACGCCGTTTGCTTCATTTCCTTCCTCGCGCTCAGTCATTACCGTTGCGCAACACAATTATTGTATTATTTTCGCGTGTTAATTAACGGTGGCGTTTTGCTTCGTTATTGGCATTTCGCTGCCGAGTGGTTATTTATGGCGAAAGTGGCGGGGGGAGGCCCCACCGTGTCGTCTGGCTGTGCTGCTGTGCGTCTGGCTCGTCAGCAACGGCCCCCATGGCAGGCCTCGTGCCTCAGGCCAAACCCCCCCTGCTCCGCCACCCCGCCCCATCCCCGTCATGCGTCGGGGCCTGAGAGGTGGTGTTCCGTCTCCCATCAAGCTCCTATGCGAAGCGGTTTATGGTTTATAGGTATAATAGTTCCAATCCAATGAGCCACAAGATTGAGGAGAGCGGCTGTGGCTATGGCCACGGCTATAGTCTTGGGCTGGGACGCACGATAAGAGTATACGGCCCGAGACTTGTATAGCCCC